CTCTCATCGCGACGATTGGATCGTTGGGAGAAGATGATTTTGAGAGAAATTTGGGTTTTGGGGCGTTTGGACGAATTTGAGCCAGAAATACAATATAAACAAAGAATAGATTAGCATTAAAAAGTACACAAGAAGAATCCTACGAATCAATTTGTAAATAACCAAACGGTTTGTTTACTTTTTGCTTGTACAGGGTGGGTCAAATTTGACGCTTTTAAATGGAAACACCCTTTTCTATAGGAGATAAACAAAAACTAATATCGGTGTCTGGAGTTCAAGTTTTCTCAAAAACATGATGATGAAAACCGCATATCGACATCTGTTGCCGTTTCAGAGTTATCTATGGGGTGTTTTTCAAAAATAGGTATACATATGTGCATTTTTAACAAATCGCTGTAACTTTTTTGCTATGGAAAATTTTGTATTTTTATGAAAACATTTCCAAAGCACTTTTTACGTAGAATTTAATTGTTTAAGTATAATTTTTTTAAAGTTAATAATTTAAGAATTCAACTAAAGTATCTTAGGTAAGGAGGATTCAATATAATTTAAGGGTAGTTTATTCTTGACTCAAAAAATATCAAACCCCATTAAAACGTACGTCTATGAGGTTCGCATTTCTTACCCTGGACAAAATGTACGTCTTATAGGCATACAGCCTCCTGCCAAAAATGAAAAAGATCGCTCAACAAACAACCAAGATATTGGCTTGGATCCATCTTAAGTGGGACACCCTGTATATAGAAAACCGAGAGGAAACAAATAAGACCAAAAGCATTTTAAGAGTCGCTGAAATGAAGAACATAAGGACCATAATGGGGAAGACTAGAAGAGACAGAATTAGAAACACTTAGACTAATCTTTTCTAAAGAGACTTAAATCTTCTTCTATTTCGGAATAAAGATTTAAATAACAAATCATTTTGAAAATGATGTAAATCGAAAAAGACTTGATGAGATACATCATGAATTTCAACGATCAATGATTAAGTTGTCATTTTCTGCGATATTTAAAGAAGTAATTGAGTTTTATTTATAGTTTTTTAATCGACAATAAATTCTACACTCTCTTTTACTACTAGTGATATTTTGATCAGAATGCCGGGCAAAGAAAGTGTATTAAAAACGATTAAGCAAGAAGAAAAAGAACGAAAATCGAACGAAAGCATAAACTTTTAACCGCAAACTAAGCGTCAACGAAGTCCGAGCGTTCACAATTAAAAGAGCAAACATTTCACCGCTCCGATTTCATCTTTGACATTGTAGTCCAAGAGCTTTAGCTCAAATAATTCGACAGAACATTAAATAAAATGAGTATCTATTATTTACTACCACATATTATTCGTACATCCCAAGTGGCAAAGGAGTACGAGGAGGAGGAAGACATGATATCCCCAAAGCTGTTTACTGTTTACAGCGAACGTTAGAATAAATCTTCCGTCAACTAGACTGCACCAACAAAGGATTAAAAATAGATGGAGAATATAATACACACAGGGTAACATATAATAAATACAAGAATAAGTGTCAAATCAGTGTTAAATTATGGAAAGAGTGTGGCTGCCTGGGTAACTAATTTTCAGATATGGCGGCTGGGATATTTGACATGACATAGCAATGACAATGTCAATTTTATTAAATTTATTTCCGTTTCCGGTTTTTAATAGCGGGCTGTTCAGGAGGTTTAAATGAGGGTTAATATACTTTTTACTCTTTCTAGTAGTAAATAATACAACAAAACTACTCAAAAATATTTATTTGAAATTTAGAACAATGTAAATATGCAAATCAACACAATTAAAGAGGATATAAACACATAAACTACTGTATCAATATCAAATATTTAAATAATATCAGAGATACTGTGTCAAAGTGAATTAGTAAACTAACAGAGCATTGACTTACAGAAACTTGAAGATAAATAAATGTTTTCACAGCTTCACGGGCGTAAGCAGGAAATAGACAACAGGGACCCACACAAAAGCTGGAATCCAAAAAAAAATTATGTAAAATATCATGAATATAGGTACATAAGACTTTTGTGAATTAAATCAAACAGGACTTAAATGAAAATAAAATGAATAAAAAATATGATACATATACATCTAATACCTCATTTTATATGTAAAAAAAATCTACGCACATAGATTTATTGCATTATTGCTATTAAAATACATAATAGGTACTTATGTGGTATGTAATTACACATTTCTGTTCATCTTGTAGATAATTAATGTAGGCTAATAAATAGTTTAATAATTATAATTTACCTTGTATAACTTGCGTTCAATTGCTCAAAATCACCGATCAGAGTCTTTAAAGTAGGGATACGGAAAAATCCTTGGCAAAGAATATCCCAAGATCCTTGAGTTTAAAGCTAAAAAAATATAAAAACAGTTAATATATTACCTATTTTTACATATAATATGGCCCGTACCTATTATTACACGCAGAAACGTCGATTTCATCATTTTCTTCATGTAATTCATATCAAATATACTTTCTTAAAGTATTAACGAGGAACTTTATATCAAAAAACATCTTTGTACTTATAAATTTCAGCCGAAATATATATACAGGGTTGTTCACCACATACGACACGGAGTATTGTAGCTAAACGATGAGATTTTTACAAATTGTAAGTTTGGGGTTCGTTGAAGGACTATTAGAGCTACAATTTAAAAATATTTTTACAAGATACAGGTGTCCCAAATAAATAAAAAATATCAAAGTTGTATTTTTTTAAATGGAACAATCTGTATATTATTACATTTTTAGTTTCTACGATTAAAATAAAGGTAAATTTGATTAAGGTTTATTATACTTAAACCTTACCGTTTTTGAAATATTTTCAATTTTGTGAAATTGCAGTAAAAATTTTAAAGCTTCATTTCTCCAAGGGTATCAATGTTTTTAATACTACATATTTAATGAAGTTTATTTATTGATCAGTTATTGTGTTGCAATAATAAAAATAATACTACCTTATACAGAGTGTCTAAAAATTTATTTTAAATAATTATTAGCTTCAAACGGCAATAACTTCTTTAATTTAAATGGAATGCCCTGTATATTTTAGGAGAATCAGATGCACAATTAAATTGTCTATCAAATTGTATTATACCATTTTTTACCTATCCCTTCCAGTTTTCGTAGAAAATGCATTTTCTTATAATTTAGACCTCATTTATCAATATATCCATGAAATATTGACATTTTAGATTGTTTTTAAAGCAACAAATGTACAAAATGTACAGACTAATAATATTATCGTTTTTAGCAAAACGATAATATTACTAACCATTGTATGCAAAAGAAAACTATTTAAATCTTTATAAAAGAGTATACCATTAATTAAATATAACACCATTATTTCCGCCCATATACTAATTAATTACATACTTAATTGTGTTCGGTAATAAATTATTATAAATAAATGTGGATTTGAGTCAGAAATCAATATAATAATAAGTTATCAAATTAAAGTCTCTGTTCTTATAAATAAGCATTTATTAAAAAATAAAATATCATTTTTAAGGTGTTACTTTTTATCACACTGTCTAATGCCCATACAAAATTCAGTTTTTTAGTATTTGGAGCAATTATTATTAATCAACGCAAACAGTCAGTTAATGTAGTTTGAATACTGGAATCATATTAATTGGTCCTCTTTAACAAATATTTAAACAGTTTTTTTTTATTTTTTAATGAAATAAACGAATTATATCGACAATATTAGTATCTGTACTCTTTAAAAATTTGGTACATCTTCAAAAATAATCTAAAATGTTAATAGTCCATGGGTATATTGATAAATAAGTTCTAAGTTACAAGAAAATGCATTTTCTACGGAAACTTAAAGAGATAGGTAAAAAATGGTATAATATAATTTGATAGACAATTAAACTGTGCATCTGATTCTCGTAAAATATACAGGGTGTTCCATTTAAATTAAACAAGTTATTGCCGTTTGAAGCTAATAATTATTTATTTAAAATAAATTTTTAGACACTTTGTATAAGGTAGTATTATTTTTATTATTGCAACACAATAACTGATCAGTAAATAAACTTCAGTAAATATTTAGTATTAAAAACTTTGATACCCTTGGAGAAATGAAGCCTTCAAATTTTTACTGCAATTTCACAAAATTGAAAATATTTCAAAAACGGTAAGGTTTAAGTATAATAAACCTTAATTAAATTTACCTTTATTTTAATCGTAGAAACTAAAAATGTAATAATATACAAGGTGTTCCATTTAAAAAATACAACTTTGATATTTTTTACTTATTTGGGACACTCTGTATCTTGTAAAATTATTTTTAAATTGTACCTCTAATAGTCCTTCATCGAACCCAAATACTTACAATTTGTAAAAATCTCATCGTTTAGCTACAATACTCCGTGTCGTATGTGGTGAACAACCCTGTATAAACAAATTTCCAATCAAATCTAAACGGCAAAAATTAAAATGGCGCCCGACCTTGCCAGAAGCCTCGGGAGCTGACACACAGACAAAAGAAAAGGACGCCGACGTGCATAAAAATGTTCCGTAACAGAAATCATACAGAAATATTCGGATTTTTGTCTAGGACAGTCTAGAAAGCCATGCTTTCTGCCTGGGTAAGATCGTGCCAGAACTGTTTCCAATTTTCCGGTTTACTATCACCCCCCTAATGACATCTAGAGGATGATCTCGCCAAAATTATCATCGATTGTCACTCCCCAGTCATCTTTGACACCAGTTTTTTTCGATTATACTACTAAAAATACGTTAAAATAAGCTTTATTCAAATTCTTGTTCTATTTACTGACATGCCTCGGATTTGATCTAAAATTATTGGACTATCACTCGGTGCCACCGTACAAGATCTAAGATCTTTACAATGTAGCTTCGGTACCACCACGGAACCATCCCGTCTCCTCATCGCGACTGTCACATCGGTCGTTCGTCGTTTGGTTCCAGTTTCCATTTCTTCGTCCGTCCGCCGCACCAAGGAAGAACCAGCATTCTCACTCGTGTAACAGGTGTCCCACCATCGCGGCCGGGTACTACCTAAGCGGAAGACCCGCTAGACTGACCCACTGACCCAGTTGGCACGTTCTGCTGACCAACAGTACACACACATACACACAAACGTATCCTTCAGTCGACGACGGACTGAATCGGTACCCATAGAGTCACTGAAGAGGTACCACCTTCCGTATCGGTAGTACCCGAATCAGAAAAAAATAGACGCGTCTCGAAAAAACACAGTTGTTTACTTAGTACTTTGGTAATTGAAAATTTAAGACTTTCTTCCGGGTAGTACCGTCATATATTATCGTAGCGTGTAAAAAATAGTTGTCATGTAAATTTATTTCGTTAAAATATTAGTGTGTTACTAGTACGGGTTCTTCTTTGTGACTGATTTCGAGTAGTACCATGGAGAAGTTTAATGGATATTTATTGATGGGGTTGTTGGGCTGCGTTGTGGCGTGCTGTGCATGGGAGAATGGGATTGGAAGGAGTGGAATATCGAGTACTGGAGGTATGTAGTACAATTAAAGTTTGTTTGTTAGCATAGTTTGCATATCTCGTGAGTAAGAGTCTATTACGAGTAGAATTTATTTTCTCTAATATCGAAATAAAGTTGGTTATAAGAGGTTGATTATACTGAAACTTTTCAATTTTTCTTTTATTCCTCCAAATTGAATTATTGCTTGTTGACGGTAAGGTTGAAGCGGAAGCTAATAATGGTAGTAAAGGGGTAACATCGGGGAGATAATTATTATTGCTTGTGGATGGTATGGCGAAAGTGGCGGCTGATAAGGGTAGTTCCGAGGCTCGTTTAGTTTGGGGGGATAATTACGCAGTCTAGTATTTTTACATTAGGATTTCTTTGATTACAGGGAGCTTCACATATTAGATTAGGCGGTACAATTTTGCTACATGAGGGTTTGCATGCCTCTGTAATTTCCTCGGTATTTTCCGTAGAAGGCTCGGTAGAAGGCTTTTTTAGAAATGAAGTTATCTTTGGTTGTGCCTTAGAGGTATTTGAAGAATTATTGCTTACCTCTGATGTAACCTCGGATTTAACACTGCGATTATTACTAATTTTTGGTATAAATAATTTATTTGTCATATCAAAATGCTTTATCAAGCGTGTTTGAAAATTTGAGCTTACCCAGCGTGCCTTCGTAACTCTTGTTTTTGTGGTTTTTGTAGAAGGATGATATTTTATTTCTAAAGTTACTTGCTTTTTACAAAAGCAGGTTATTTTGAATATTAAAATCGATCTCGAAATATCGAGTTTGCCTCGAAGTTTGCAGTAGAATTTGGAAGTAAAACTGATGTGCTAAAAATAATGTTATTAAACAGACTATTGCAGTTTAGAGTGCTCCAGAGTTCATCACCAATTTTTGACTTTAACCATTGCTTAGAATTTTAGAAACTATATTATTTTCTTGGGTATAATCAGTTTCCAAAACATGTAGAGTGGTATCTTCTGAAAGACTTCCAGAACTAAACGATTTTGTCAAAGCACCTTTAGAGGTCCAGATATATTTCACATATTTTTCAGTATTAGCTTTAGATGCAAATGGGCTAGAAATGATGCAATCAGCTTCCCGGCCGTCGTCGCCACGTGCATCTAATCCAGCGTTGCCAGATGTCCAACAAAATACCTGTTTAATACCAGTTTAATATCAAATAAAACCAGTTCATTACCAAATAATACCAGTTTATTACCAAATAATACCAAATTAGTATCAAAAATACCAAATTAGTACCAAAAAATACCAGTATTATCAAGTGCTTGTACAATAAATACCACCAGACTATACGGGCAATTTAAAAATAAGAATCTTTATTCTTCCGCAAAGATAAAAATTCATAGGCGCTAAGTCCGGTGGTTTCGGCGGCCTCGACGGCCAACAGCTGGGATCTTGGTTAGCTATTCAATTATTTTCGAAATTGGCTGCAAAAATTTGCTGATAACTTCAGCGTTCTGAGACATTGTCTCGTCTTACTGGAAAAATATGTTTTCAAAGTTCCATTAGAGTCAGATCATCAATAGGGGTTCCAAGGCCTACTAGTTAAAAGTGGAAAACTTTTAAAAATTCTGTATTTCGAAGGGAACTATAAGAAAATATCAAATGTGCAATATTTTTGGTAAGGTAATTTTAAAACAAAGTAGATTTTCTGATTTTTTAGACAAAAACAAAAAGCTAAAAGTGAAGAAAAATGCATTTTTTGTAAAATAAGATAGAAAACCTTACCTTCATATTTATCATTTAGCTTCATCTATATCAGAAACTCTGATTTGAGTTTCTTCTTTAAAATGTATGTTTTTTTATCTATATCTATACTAATATATAAAATCCTTAAGTGACTGACATACTGATTAATCACGATCCTGCTCAAACCACTCAACGTAAGAAGCTCAATTTTGGCATACAGGTTGATTCTAGGGTGTAGAGGTTCGATAAGAAGGGATTTAAAAAAAAACGCTTAAACACGTATATTTTATTTTGTTTTTTTTACATATTTTAAGATTTTTTTAAAAATGTATACAGGGTGTTTCGAAAAATCTGGTCATTGATTAATCACGATCCTGCTTAAAGCGCTTGACGTAAAAAGCTGATTTTTGGAAAACAGATTGACTTTAGGGTGTAGAGGTTCGATAAAAAGGGATTTTTCGAAACTCGAATTCTAAGAGGGTGAAACTATCCCTCAAATATTAAAATATCTTTTATTTAAAAAGCGGTGAGTTTTTCGGAAAAACTCTTAAACACGTATATTTTATTTTCTTGTTTTACATATTTTAAGATTTTTTATAAATTTATACAGGGTGTTTCATAAAATATGACCATTGAGTAATCACGATTCTGCTTAAACTCCTTGACGTTTAAAGCTGATTTTTGGTAAACGGATTGACTGTGGGGTGTAGAGGTTCGATAAGGAGGGGTTTCTCGAAACTCAAATTCGAAGAGGTTGGAAACGCTCCTCAAATATTACAATATTTGTTATTTAAAAAACGGTTAGTCTTTCGGGAAAACGCTTGGACAAGCATAATTTATTTGATTTTTTAGATATTTTGAAATTTTTTAAAAAATCATACAGGGTGTTAAAAAGTTGGATAATTTCTTAACCACGATTCTGCTTAAACTGCTTGACGTAAAAAGCTTATTTTTGGCAAATGGATTTTTCGAAAGTCAAATTCCAACGAGATGAAACTACCCCTCAAATATTACCAAGTTATATAAGTGATATAATAATATCGCCATATTGTCTTTTCTCATACTGACATAAATGTGAGAATGCCCTTGAGCAAGCAACGGGGATGTCAATGTTAATAGGGAACTAATGTGAACTAAAGACCTAGTTCAAGGAACTATTCCTCTGGAGAAACTGGAACTAAGGAAGTAGTTCCTCCCAAGGAACTAGAATTCGCACCTCTATTCTGTGGGGAAAATGGGGACAGAATACCTCATCACTGAATGTGCCGAGATACACTTTGGTACGACTGATATAAATTTGAGACCACCCAGTACATTTTGTATTTATTTTAATAAAAAATCTTTATTCTTAATGATTTCCAGCGGTTGCGTTCTATTTATTTCCGGTAAACTCGAATTGATTCCCGGCGGCATGTCGGCACGCAAAACATCTCAAATGTAGATCGCGATCAATTTTCAAATTGTTTACCCATATACCTCGTTTTGCGCGTAAAAAAACCATGTAACGATTCAACGCTGATGCACGCAGATAATAACGTATACTTTCTCTTTAAACGACTGATGTTCTGCATATATTTACTTGTAAACTAAGTAATGTTTGCTACACGACTTTGGAGTACAGCTGTTTTTCCATTAATATACCATTTTTAAACAATATCACGTTTTTTTCGGGTTAACCTGGTTACCGAGAAATTTGGCGGTACGTGGCAACACTGTTAAGTATATTAATCGCTGAGCAAATTAAAATATTAAGGTTACTATTTCAGGAAATCTACCGTTGTGCAGTTCATTATGTTTTTTTACTCTCATCACATAGAAAGTTTTCGATATCTTCAGATTATATTAGAACTATATAATTTGTTTTCAATGCAGAATGATCCAAGCAATACAATAACATATACAGTATACTTTTAAACAACTAAATGTCAATAAGTAACATAACAAAACAACATATTATTGTATACATACGTATGTATAAGTTGGTTCAGACCATTCTACGACCGTTTTCCGAAACCTAACCTCCACTTCTCTCTATTCAGCCAGAGATCACAGATAAGAAACAAGCCAGAGATCATCAGGTATTTCTCTATATTCTAAAGTTCTTTATCCATTCCCTCCATGCAGCTTCTTCGTAGCCTTCCTCTTTTATTTCTGGCTCGCGGTGTCCACAGTAAAATTGGCTTTGGTATTCTGTGATCGGGCATTCGTTGCACATGACCAAACCATATGAGTTTTTTTGTTCTTATGTGGTCACAATTGTGTGTTCTGTTCCCATAATCTTTCTTATCTGCCATACTGCGTTTCCGTAAATTATTATGCTTTTCACTACGGTATTATAGGTATATGATCTTATTAGCTTTAGAAATTCCTTGGTCTCACATTCAGCATCGATATTGCCCTCCTGCCTGGCACTATTGGATCTTTTATACCCTCATCGAGTTTTCCATCGTTAGTTATTTTTAATCAAAGATATTTATATTGGTCACAATTTTTTATCATGCTTCTATCGTCTAAGACTATGTTCTCTCGTGCCCCCCCCCTGCACTCATACATTCAGTTTTTGTAATATTTACGTCCAACCCCCATTTCTTGTACTCTTCTATCAGCTTTCTTGCCAAGTATTCAAGGCGTTTGTTTGGTCTTGGGCTAGGACTAGGACTATCTGGTCGTCCGCAAAAAATAGGGTGTACAAGGTGTCCTCATCTTCTCATCTACACTCATATATAAAATCCTTGAGTGACTGACATACTGATTAATCACGATCCTGCTCAAACCACTCAACGTAAGAAGCTCAATTTTGGCATACAGGTTGATTCTAGGGTGTAGAGGTTCGATAAGAAGGGATTTTTCGAAATTCCACTTCCAAGGGGGTGAAACCACCCCTCAAATATTACAATATTTTTTATTTAAAAAACGGTCAAGTGTCCGAAAAACGCTTAAACACGTATATTTTATTTTGTTTTTTTACATATTTTAAGATTTTTAAAAATGTATACAAGGTGTTGCGAAAAATCTGGTCATTGATTAATCACGATCCTGCTAAAAGCGCTTGACGTAAAAAGCTGATTTTGGAAAACGGATTGACTTTAGGGTGTAGAGGTTCGATAAGAAGGATTTTTCGAAACTCGAATTCTAAGGGGTGAAACTATCCCTCAAATATTAAAATATTTTTTATTTAAAAACCGGTGAGTTTTTGGAAAAACTCTTAAACACGTATATTTTATTTTGTTGTTTTACACATTTTAAGATTTTTTATAAATTTATACAGGGTGTTTCATAAAATATGACCATTGAGTAATCACGATTCTGC